AAAAAAAAGATTTTTTTCCTTTTATTATTCTATCTCATTTTATATTCTACTACTTATAGCTTTTGAAGATTCTTATTTTTTTATTTTCTAAAAAAAATACTTTTTACTTTACTGTCAGAGAAAACCAAAGGCTAAAACAAGGTGAAAAAAAAAAAGAACATACACCAAAATTATTTGACAAAATTCACGTCTAAATTTGCAGTCAAAAACAAAAATAAAAAAAAGAGCAATTTTGCTAAATAGATGTAAATTTTTTGATCAACTGAAACAGTGATAAAACAAAGTAACTCGTGAACGAAGAAGACAAAGAAGGACTCTGTTTAGTTGTCACCGAAATATGTCGTGGAAAATCAACACTTTTGGTTTCTTGATTCTCTAAGCCTCTTATCGACAAAAAAACAAACATTTTTACAGTTTACCAATAACAAATATAAAATTTTTAAATTTTTTTCTAAACATTTTTGCATTGTTGCTTAAAAATCATCAATGACTCTGATAAGCTGTGCAAAAAAAAAGCTAGCAAAAGTACCGTATCAATGACAATTTTAGACACAACAAAGACACAGAAATTGTTGAACTTTTAAGGAGGTTGGAAGGAAGGGGAAAGGTAAAAAAAGAGAAGAATAAGAAGGTAAATGAACAGTATGAAAAAAATCTGACTCTGAAATTGGTGTAGCAGAGCATTTCGTTGTTCAACTGATAACTTATATGATTTGGTAGCAACTACTTCAGATAAAAAATAAAGGTTGTTATTTAAGTATCCAGCATAATTTTTTCTTGTTGTCTAATTGATAGCTATAAAACAGACACATCTCAAATGTATCTATCAATTATGTACTCTTAGAATTCTGCAAATTCTTGTTTCTGGTCTTCTTTCAGGAATATGTAGTAGCCCATGAAACGGGACACGCTTTAGGCTTTTGGCATACTCATCAACGACCGGATCGTGAACGTTACATTTCCATCAATTGGAAGAACGTACTGGAAGAAGCCACAGCATCATTCATGCCTTTCCGGAGCATGTTACAGGCTTTTGGCATTCGA